CCGACCCCAAGATAGCACGCCATGTGCGGACGCTCTATACCTCGCCGGTAAGACATCTAGCCTTTATATAAAAATATCTATGGTTGAAAAAACAGGGGAAGGAGGTAAATCTAAACACAAGAGTCAGGAAACTACAAAATAAAACAGGAAACAAACCCCACACCGTGACACCAAACAACTACAAAGAGAAAGAAACAAAGGGTGCAGGATTATTCCTATATGAATAAAATGATTTCCAATGAGCCCAGATAAAAGGAATACTGTTGGCATGTTGACTTCCTGTCTGAAGGAAACACAGAACATTGAGTGGCTTTGGAAACCTGACTTACACAATTTCATGTCTTATTTTCTAAATTTTTGTTATACATTTTTTTATCGATGCCCTCCGACACATTCGATCTCAGTGCTGAATGTGTATCTCTGCCCCTCCAGCTCCACCTGTTGGAAATATTTACAATCCTGCAAACACTCCCCAAATGTGCTGGCAACCAGTTTTTGTTCAGTTGCGTTTCCCTCTCACATCACTGTGTTTGCTGACAGCACAAAAATACACGCCGGCGTCCTCCAGCTGCAAGTCCTTCACAGTAAGAGCGCCGCTCTCAGAACTTTCTTTAACGGCTGAATATTTGGTCTGAGGGAGCTTCCCGTAATCTGGCTGTCCGCCAAAAACTGTGTAGACCACCAGGGTCATGGTCTCTCCTGGACGCTGTCTGTACCAGTACATCTGGTTGTGACCGGCATCTTTGTTGTGGCTGCAGTTCATCTCTGCCGATTTGGAAACAAGACTCCAGTTGATTTCAGGGTGTTGGGTCACACCCTGGCAGTGACCTGTGTGGAGGAAATACAACATGTCCGTTTCAATCAAAAAGTTCGATTTTTTGTCATTTACGAGGTGCATAATTTTAATTTAACTATTGAAATGACATTCACATTTTTAGGTCTTCTATAATTGAAAGAGAAATCTTCCTCATAAACACTGTAGTTCTGCATCAGCCCGTGTGACCATGTGAGTCAATACACTAGACGCCATTAAACACTGTTCAAACATGTCGACTTGTGTTGTACCTTGAAGCATCAGCGACGACACTACGAGTGCGATGAGAACTGGAGTCATTGTAACGATGTTGTTGACGTGAGAAGCAGCGACAGCAAAATGACTGAGTCTCTTTTCATAGTGGGAGGTGGGAGGTTAAACAGATTGCTCTGCAGAAAGGGCCTCCCATCATGTTCTCTAATGTTGATCAGAAGAAAACGGCTTATTCCAGGGGTTTGATGTACAGAGATAGAATTAAAGGATTATTAAGCCAGGATTTGGTTGTGGGTGTCGATGCTGTGTGAACGGTCACGTTTTAACGGTTTATAAATGATTTGGGGTTTGTTGTACATACCCAGTGGAGTCTGGTGTCGCAGAAACATTGGACAAAATACAGCTTGAGAAGAAACGGTTGAAAACATAGGAAATATAACAAAGCTGGACTGGCCGCAGTATGTCAAAACACAAGCAAATTTATTAAAAGTATGTAGAGGACTTGAAAAATTCATATTCATATTCATCACATAAAATAAACCAGAAGTCATCAGGTATCACAGTGCTTTCTCATCCCTCCTAATATTATAATGCTTATGTCAACCACAGCAACAACTGGCTATGTAATGCTGCTGTATGAGAGGGTCACAGGTGCACGGGGCTGTGAGCTTTGATACAGATGTTGTTGTTCTAAGGAGCAGTGATGTGCAGCACTGTGTAGACTAGCAGCACAGAAGTACACCGCGCTACTGTTCAGCACCAGGCCCTCAATTCTTAATTGGCACATTTGGTTTTTATCAGCACTCCCATCCATCTTTACGCCTAGTCCAGCTTCTGGGATTCTGAGGGTTTTTAACACGTATCCCAGAAACTGCAGTTTGTTGTCCCTGGACAGTTTGTACCAGAAGATTCGATCGTAGTTGGGAATACTGTGTGAACAGTTGATTGTGGCTTCTTCTGTGGGTTTGTTGTAAATATCAGCTGGAGTCTGGTGAACTTGGTCACTGAGAGACGAGCCTGTTGGGAAATGAATAAAAGATAATTGGAAACAACGTCAGAAATAGCAACAGAAAATGTGACTGGAGGGAAACCAGGAAATAGAAACAAATTTACAGGAAATCTTGAATTCATTAGTACATTACCTGAGACCATAAAATATCTAAAAGTAATGCAAATGAAGATGATGTGCATTTTGTGTTTCTTCTGGATGTTTGGTAATACCTCAGAAAAAGTGATCTAATTTGGATCCCTCCTATGTTGTTGCAACGCCTGAAGCAGCTATACAAAGAATCCCCCAAACTCCTCCTTTGAACCCTCCCAAGTCATTGGTGGGGCGGCGTCATTGTCAACCAACCCGACACAGCTCTGTGTCTGGTTCAGTATAAAGATCTGTAACAAGATTCGCTGAGGACGGAGCACAGGTGTGAGGAGCTGTGAGCTGTTCTATAGGGAGAGGAACGATCTTGTACCGAGGAGCAGCCATCTGCTCCACAGTGTGACCTCGCAGCACAGAAGTACACAGCACTGCTGTTCAGGGCCACTCTCTCCATTGTCAATGTGCAGGTCTGATGTTGATTTGCACTCCCTGTCATATTCACACCCAGTCCAACCTCTGGGTTTTTATTATTTGCAAACATGTAACCCAGGAACAGCATCGCGTCATCCCTGGATTGTTTGTACCAGAGGATTTTATCGTAGTCCTTAATGCTGTGTGAGCAGTAGATATGGGCTGTTCCTTCAGGTCTGGTGAACATCTCAGACGGAGTCTGGTGCACCTGGTCGCTGAGAGAGGCACCTGCGGAAACAGCATCCACGAATAACAATTTACAATCATGGTCAACTTAAATGTGAAAGAACGCTCAACAGGACTTTTACCTGAAATTGTCATGACATTGAGGGCTAAGCAGAAGATAGTGATCATCTTGCTGTGTCCTCCTTGTTACTGGTACTGTGCTTCTGTCACTGTATAATCTGTTTGAATATGAGAACCCTCCCACCAGGAAACTTGTTTCTTGTTGGGTGGAGTTATATTGCTCCCTGAACAGACATGTAGTGCCACCTTATGACAGCAGATAGGACGACAGAGATCTGAACAGAACCCTCAGGGTCAGGCATAATATAATGAATCATGTGTTGGAGGTACAGCAGCAGTACATTTTCATGTATTTTATTGAATGGCATAACTGCAGTGTGAAAGTTTGTGTGCCCTAGGGTTTCCTGATTTGATAGACAGAATGGGGACACCTAAGTGATTCTTCAAGTAGAATATTATTCAACTCTTCAAAGATTGCAATTGTTGCCACATGACAGACAAATACTATTTTTAACTTATCCAAAGTGTACAAAGTTCATTGACTTCCTCTCAAAGTTCTCGGAGCTCAGTGGTGGGCCGTACATTTTTGTACCTGTTCACTATTTACAGACAAAGTTCAACCTGAACTATCACAAAATACTAAGATTTGCTAGCTAGCTTTCTGTTTGACCAAAGTCACGCTGGCCTACTGACCAATCACGGCGCACGTCAAAGTACTTATGAGGCTACCTGGGTAACAGAGTTGTGCAGTGTACAACAAATGATGAAAGTTGCATTTACAGTTTAACTTGTGCAGCTAAATGATTTAATAAAGGAGTGAACTTACAAAGCAGAGAGTCCACAAAGCAGGCAGGAACATTAGTCAGTAATGAAGTAAACAAAACTCCATGAAGGACAAACGGACAAATAGAGGGAGGGAAGTCAGTGGCATTGGATTGATAAACAAGGGAAGTAAGATGAGCAGGAAGTTAGGTGAGGTGATCAGGGGGTGAGGTAAGCAGGACGTTGGGTCAGCTGATCAGAAGATAAGGTAAGCAGGAAGTTGGGTAATTTTCGAGCGTATTAATGTAGGGGTCTTAAATATTATAGCATCACTCCAGAAGGCCCATGGTAAAACCAATCCTTTTTCTGTTAGGTCAGTGTTACAGGACTCTCATACCAGACTCATTCAACTAAAGTTGCCATAGTTACTGAGCTCAAACTATTGATTTTCTGCAACCAAATAAGCTGACAATGAGACAGGCTAACAGGAATAGGCCTGGTTTATTTGGGAAATTTGCTCTATGGAAGGGATAACCTTCAAATTCTTCAAGATAACCTAGAATCATCAGCCCGAAGGTTGGGTCTTGGCCGCAGTTGTGTGTTTGGGGTCATTGTCCTGTTTTAACACCCATCAAAAGTGGCAATAGAATGGCTAAATCAGGCCAGAATAAGGATTTTAGAATGGCCTTCTCAAAGTGCTGATTTAAATCTTATTGGGAACATGTGGACAATGCTGAAGAAACAAGGGACATGTAACCAAATATTAGCACTGCTGTATGCATATTTTGACCCAGCAGACTTGA